ATAGAAAAAGAGTTTGGCTCTGCTGTGGGCGCTTGGAAAGTTCCGTCCGTACTTATACGGCCGCCCGTTCGATCTAGTAACTGATCACCACGCGCTTTGCTGGCTCTCCACGTTGAAAGACCCTTCTGGCTGCCTTGCGCGATGGGCACTCCGCATCCAGGAGTACGACATTCGCGTCGTATACCGCTGTGGACGCAAACACTCTGACGCTGATGCCCTGTCCCGCTCACTTTTACCACCAGATCAGACGTGCTGAAACACTTGCCTCCAGACCTTGTCATCGCTAAATCTCGACTCGATTGCCACCGAGCAACGTCGTGACCCGTGGATCGCCTCTCTTATCGAATATTTATCTGGCATGCCCAACCTTCCAGTATCTCGATCCCTCCGACGTCAAGCTTTCCATTTCGCTATCCGCGATCAACTTCTTCATCGACGCAACTACGCTCTTGATGGCCGCCGGTGGCTGCTGGTCATTCCACGCACTTTACGATCGCAAGTATGCACCTCTCTTTACGACGATCCGCAATGCGGCCACGCCGGGGTGTTCAAAACATATGAACGCCTTCGCCATCGCTATTACTGGCGCGGCATGCACAATTTTGTACGCAAATTTGTGCAGTGCCGTTCTGACTGCCAGCGACGCAAATCAACACTGCCACGTGCGACTGGCGCATTGCAGCCACTTCCTTGCCCTGCCAAGCCATTTGATCGCGTTGGTGTTGACCTCTACGGTCCCCTTCCATTGACACCAGATGGTAATCGGTGGATTATAGTGGCCGTTGACCACCTGACACGCTACGCCGAAACAGCCGCTTTGCCGAGCGCTACAGCTCAGGATGTCGCCTCTTTCATTTTACAACGCTTTATCCTTCGACATGGTGCACCTCGAGAGCTCCTTAGTGACAGAGGCCGCACTTTCCTCTCCGAGGTCCTCGAAACTCTGCTTTCGGAATGCCACATCATTAATCAGAAAACGACAGCATACCACCCGCAGACTAACGGGCTAACGGAATGGTTCAACCGCACGCTAGGTGATATGTCTCAATGTACGTGGTATCTGATCATAGCAACTGGGACCGTGTCCTCCCATACGTCACGTTCGCATATAACACCGCAATACAAACCACAACGGGATTCTCACCTTTCTTTCTTCTTTACGGACGTGAGC